ACTTATAAATTAGTTTGGTTAACTTCCAAGAGTACCAAATTAAATAAGCTTTTGCCAAGCTTGATTTATTGAGGATCGTTTCGTCTTTATGATAGCCAAAAGGAGAATCTTTTATTGCAAAATATATTTTATACAATTTCTATGGAAGACAAGAGTTCTATTTCTTAAGACTTCTAGGGTTCTTGATGTTATTAGCCAAACCAGCCTTAACGTTTCTATACATGTCTACCAGACTCGGATTCAGCAAAAGTCAACCAATGTGTCAAAGGCATTTGAGCCTTCTGTAAGAGGAAATTAGTGAGTCTTTGATTCTTTGCTATTATACTATCATAATAAGAAAAGTGCTGTTTATTTAATAGCTTGATTCATTCAAGGAATATTTATTAGGTACCATTAACTTGAGATTGTTCCATATTTTCTGCTATTCAGGAGTTTATTCTTTAGATGCACAAGCTGCCAAAATAATAAAGATAATTGAAAGTCCATATTGCATGAACAGACTGTCTGGAAAGCGCAGAAGATGCTATGATTCTCGAGGGCCAGGAGAAGAAAGGCAGCTTTTCTGAAAAGATGGTCATGGCAATCAGTCCTCCCCGGGAATAAGCAGAGTGACTCAAATTCAAGAAGGACAAAGTCCTGATAGCAGCCATCTACCCTTCCTAAAGACAGAGTGTTGTTTTTTGTCATTTGGATGATATGGTATGGGAAATCAGGGAAAAGACTTAATGGAATTGTGGGAGGGCATAAGTAGATGTGTGTCTGCATATGTGTCTGTGTACTTGTGAACATTTTTGTGTGTCCGTATGCCCTAATGTATGAATATCCAGGTATGTCCACAACCATGGGCTGTGAGAGGGTGACTTCCACCACCAACAGAATATTGTGGTGATCCTGGTCAGCTCTTCTGGGCCCTGTGCCCACTTAGTCTTAAAGACAAACAAAACAATCAATAATGCATGGCTACAGATTGGTCATTGTTCCCCAGCTTCAATGTGGCCAAGTATCATCTTGTAACCATAAACTATGCACAGCGATGCTGCGTGGCATATGTGGGGTACTATGAAACTGTACCAAAGAGGCAGACAATATTGGATCCAGAGGATACGGTGGGCTAAATATAGTTTTCCAACAATAAGAAGTGATAGGTTCAGACTATCTGAAAACTGACATGGCTGGAAGGCCTCCATCGCCACTTATCCAAAACAAAGCAGCAGTGTCACCAACCCAAGCGTTACTGCTATGAGTTGATCAGTAAGTCCAGAAAAGTCACTCTTACTGAACATCTCCCAGCCTGAGGCTTTGCCAAAAGTATCTCTTGATCTCATCTCACTGACTCTAACTTGCATGTTTATTTTAGGAATAAATGCATGGGTGTTTACCTCCAGGAAGCCTCAAACCCAGTCCTCTGCATGATCACAAAATAAACAAAGATAAAGTTATATGTCTGCATGACTACAAAGGGGTGAGTTAATGTTTCCTGAAACTGTACATAGTGCCTTTTATTATTTTTTTAATCAAGAGTAAAAGAAATATATTTTGGCTAAAGGAGTGTGTGAGGATACAAAGTATTTTACATTAAAAAAATTGTTCATCATCACTGAAGACATCTATAATTCAGAGCTACATATTTCTATGATAAATGCAGTACACTGACATATTGCTAAATTATTGAGCGATATACAGGAAGTATTTGTTTTATATACCTATTGTGTGATTCAAAAGACACTAGAACAATAAGGATGGCAAATGGTTTCATCTTGAGTTATGACATCTCTCTTTTGAGAGCGCTGCCTTGAATGCTGAGCTGGGAAGGATTCTGATGAAATTAATGTCTTGAATCAGCTGACAAGTATGAGGTGATCCATGAGCAGTGGAAAAGGTCAAGGAGGCACATGTGTCAAATATTTGCTTTCCCTACTGCTAAATACTTTAAATAAACTCTTAACAAGAATCATAAACCCAACTTATACAAAACCAACATCTTAATTTTTCCCTTAAAATCTGCTCAGTCTTATCTGGTTTAGTTCATGACAACCCCCTCCGTCCAGGTGTTCACACAAAACCTTTGGTATTTTCCTTGTATTCTCTAGTTCTTTCATAACACATATCCAATTCATCAGGAAAATTCTATTGGTCCCATAGTCAAGACATATTCAGAATTCAACTGCTATTCACCATTATCACCACCACCACCTTGCTCTACATTACCATCATCTCTTGTTGAGGTTACTGAGAGGCATTCCCAGTTGTTTCTGTTTTTACCCTTGCTTTCCTATAATCTATAATTCTCAGCAGAGCAAGCGTATTTGTTTACTATTGTAGCCGAAACAAATTACCACAAAATTAGTGGCTTAAAACAACTGTTTATTGTCTTACAGTGTCCCTGGTCCAAAGTCCAGGCACAGTGTGGCTCAGCTGGTTCTTTGTTTAGACAAAGTCAAGGCATAAGCAGGGCTGTGTTTTTTTTTGTTTTTTGTTTTTTTAATGTTTTATTTATTTCTAGGAGAGAGAGAGAGAGAGCGCAAGCAGGGGAGGGTTTTTTTATTTCTAGGAGAGAGAGGGAGACACAGAATCTGAAGCAGCCTCCAGGCTCTGAGCTGGCAGTCAGCACAGAGCCCGACGCGGGGCTCGAACCCACGAACCGCGAGATCATGACCTAAGCGAAAGTCGGACGCTCAACCGACTAAGCCACCCAGGTGCCCCAGCTGTGTTCTTTTCTAGTGGCTTTAGGGAGAAGCATGCTTCCACAGGTTGATCAGGCTGATGGTGGAATTCAGTTCTATGAAGTGTAGACCTGAGATTCCTGTCTCCTTTCTGGTTTTTGCTTGGTTATGGCTCTCAGCTTCCAGAAGCTGCCCATACACCTTGGTTTGTGGCCTTTTTTCCACCTTCAAAGCTATCAGTAGTGGGTGGCATGTCCCCCATACACTGAATCTCTCCTCCGCCTCCTTCCCTCTTCTGCCACATCCCTCTGACTAATGTTAGATGTAGAAATGTCTCTGCTTTAAGGTCTTTAGCGATCAGATTGGATCATCTATGATGATCTTACTACCTTAAAGTCTGTGATCTTAACTACATTGGCACAGTCCCTTCACATTAGTACCTAGATTAGTGTCTACTTGACAAATGAGGGGAAGGGAACCTTGGAGAATAGCTTTAGCGTTATGTCTACCGTGGCAGCCAAATGATCCTGTGAAAACATAACTAGATTATGCTTCTCTTCTGCTCGATATCATATAATGAGTTCTTATCTTGTGCACAGTAAAAGGCAAATTTCTCTTTGTTTTTAAGTTTACTTACTTATTTTGAGAGAGAGAGCATGAGTGGGGAAGGGGCAGAGAGAGAAGAAGGGAAAGTCCCAAACTGGCTCCACACTGAATCCTAAGCAGGCTCCACACTATCAGCACAGAGCCCAATGTGGGACTCAAACTCATAAACTGTGAGATCATGACCTGAGCTGAAATCAAGAGTTGGAAGCTAAAACAACTGAGCCACCCAGGCGCCCCAAAGCCAAATTTCTTAGAATGGACTACAAAAGCCAACACAATGTTTTCTTCCATTACCTATGACCTCATTTCTTCTTATCCCTGGTATTCATGGTTTCCTCAGAGAAAACTTTTTTTTTAGCATCTTAGCCTTTTTGAAGAACTTTAAATACATTAAGTAAGCATCCCTTTTAGCTGAAGTAAACCAATTTTTAAGACTTTGTGTAAACTAGTGTTTCTCAATCTTAGCACTATTTATATTTTGAACCAGATAATTCTTTGTTGTGGAGAGCTGTTCTGTGTGTTACGGGATAGTTAGTACTACCCTGGCTTCTACTCACTAGATGCCATTAGCACACTCCAGTTGTGATAACCAAAATGTCTCTAAACATTACCAAATGTCTCTCAAGTGACAAAATTCCCGCTGGTTTAGAACCAAAAAGGCCAAAATAAATCCTTTTTTATGCAGCAATACCAAAATGATGGCTATAATACCAAAAGCAGGTACATACTAGTTTCTCAAACTATAACTTCAGAATTTTAAGAATTTCTTTTTAAACACATTTTCTATAAATAATTACACTGGAATGGTAAAGCAGAAATGCCTGAAGTTTCTATGTTAATGAATAATCTTCATTCATTCAGAAACATGAATCAAACATAAGTTAAAGATGAAAACAAAGCATAAAATGAAACGGGTGGTCTATAGATAGCAATTACTAATATAGAACAATATAACTGGGCTGACAAACAATATAGGATCATCATACTCATCCCTTTATATAATAGATTAGCAAAATCTGTTTTATACAAATGCCTGATATTAATATCCAATCTCTTGGTTTTAGGAAATCCATTTTCAATAACCTAAGGCTGCATGTTTAAGAAGTCTCTACTGAATATTTAAAATACATCATAAATAGATTTTAAATAAGAGCTTAGTGAATGTCCTCTGGCATTCAGTGTAAGGTTAGTTACTGTAGAACACTAGGGTGTTACAAGATTTGGAAAAAAATAAAACTCTAATAAATGAATCCAAGTTATCCTCAAATGTTTTGGTGGAAAAAGTTATGTATGATGTAATGCTCACATGCTATTTTTGATTTCTGGACAGGAACAAAAGTATCATTTCAGAAGAGAGCAAAGTCAAGGGCACATTCTGTTAGCAGCAGCAGAAAAAAAGAAATAAAACCTTCAGACATAACCACCGATGATGATTGAAAAAATCATCTCCAAGGTGATCAAGGAATGTATGTACCTTTAAATTAAAACACCATTAAAAGCACAAAGAAATGTTTTCATTTTCACCAGACTGTAATCATACTGATGATGTTCAGAAACAAAATTCAAAATCAAGGACACAATTATAATGATCAATTATTAATATTTTTTAACAAATTCGCTATATCTAGAATATTGTTAGAACTGATACTTGTAACATTTAACATTCTTTCTAAAATGAATTAAAGTCTATATAATCCCATGTTTTCAGTTAGACAAAATTAAGGCACCATCTTAATTGTGATTGTTTTATTTATTTAGAGAGATGCCTAGCATCAGTAATTGCAGACAGACCTCCATTTTGTCAATATCCAGTCTGCCATTCAACCAACATTTCCTGAGAGTCTTCTCTATGACAGGCACTGTGCTCCCGCAGCAGTGACCAAGACAGATCTGGGCCCTCAGGTCACGGCTCTTGTGTTCCAGTGGAGGAAGAAGGCAAATAAACAAATTAAGAAATAATGAGTAATAAAATACGAAGCAGTGACAGCAATAAGGATGAAAGAACAGAGAGAGCTTGGGAAACAGATCAGATTGTTGGGCAGGACTCCCAGAAGAAGTGATTCTACACCCAGCCCCAAATGACAAAAAAGTCCGTGAAATTCTGGGAAAAAGAAATAATTACCATGCTGTTTAAAATTGAGGGGTCTTGAGCTGAAGTGCCGGGATGTTATTGCTTCCTAGAATCACGGAAGGGAGGAAAGTAAAAATGAATCAGAAGAGGCCACAGGATCTGCTTATTAGCATGTCAGCAGTTGCCATAATTTTACACATAGCCCAGAAATACGACACTTTTCTGACCTTGGTGATTCTTCCGGCAGAAATGAGTCCTGTGATTTCTAAATGAAAAGTGTAGAGTTCTAATCAAATGGATAAGTACAAGTTTCTGTAGACAGAAACTCAAAATTCCAAAGTAGAAAAAAATAGTAATCAAATACCCAACAAAAGTTCATAAGATTCTAAGATCACAAGAAACATGTGGTTTAAATCAAAGAAAAAAATAACTGAAATGTTTGTAGGTCCTAGAGTCAAGGGGAGAGGGGTTAAGCAGAGGTCCAAATCCAGAAGTTTGTGATTAGTTTGTGATTATCTTATAATTTTGAAGAATGCTCTGATTTCAACTATGCTGTGTGATTATCTGTCAGAACATGTATACTGAGTCTGACCTTGTACAACTTTTTCTTTATATAAGTAACTTTTTCTTAATATTAGGAGTCTAATACTCATGAGTGAGAACCCACTTTTTATTTTGAGGAAAAACTATAATCAGCTCCTACTCTTGAAAATCACATGACTTTTGAAGCACCTATGTGGCTTAGTTGGTTGAGCATCTGACTTTGCCTCAGGTAGAAAGAAAACCACATGACTTTCTAAATATAACCATTCTCTCTCTCTTTTTTTAAGAAATCTGTACACCACTCCCCACCTCCCCCCCACAAAGGAAATCCCTATACCTAGTACAGGGCTCGAACTCACAACTCTACCAACTGAGACAGCCAGACCCCTGAGCCCACTCTTTCTATCCTGATTTGGGAATAGGAGTGAGTCCCACAGTGAAGTGCCTACAGAGCTGAGAGTGATGACTTTCTGTTGATATCTTCAAAGATAAAAGATATACTTCAAAGTAAAGATATACTTCAAAGATATACTTCAAAGTAAAATCTCTCCAAATTTAACATTTCTTGTTCTCTGTCCCATTATAATTTATTTGTGGCATATACCACTTACCTTCTTCATTCCTAGGCATTCATAACCCCTAGTCATTTCTTTATCAAATTAATTATAAACATTAACTTTTTACCATTGTCAATTACAAAATATGTACTTTTTAAGTCATTAACATGATTTGGTTATTTCCCATGCTTATCCAAATGAATAATTTTCCATTAAAATTCTTACAAATTTCTGTGTGCTCAGAGGGACACGAATAAATACAATGAAAGGAAAAATTAGAAAGATTAAAAAACACAATCTGATGGTTTTAAAATAAAAATTCAAAAGTAGAATGGATAAAAATATTGGCATTCAGTTCTTCCAAATACCTTGCCAAATCATTTGTAAATTGCTGTGGTGTGTAAAAGACATTGTTCTTTAAAGTTACTTATTGAGAAATTCTTTCCATTTATTTTCAGTGATAAAGGACTGCCACATGATTAATTTACTTGTGTACAAAGCCAGTAAGATCTACAACAGAGCACAAGACATTGCCATTATTGTAAGTATACGTATTTAAAAGTGTGATACTGATATCTAGGGTGATATACAAATAATATCCACTTGGTAGATGTGTTAAATGTGCCAGGATGCCAGAAAGTCATTTTAACAAAAGTAACAGTAATTTATGATGTTAATAATAACTTTGTTAACTGGCACAGTAATTCTGAAAATAGGACATTTTTCCTTCTCTCTACTAAGATGAGAATCCTGGCATCACTAAGCATTTGCAATCAAATGCCATACCTGCATTTTGAAAAAAGTTAGTATGGACATTTTTAAGTATAAAATGACAGGATGATTTGTTTTGTTACCGGGGATTTGATGAATTGCAGTTTAGCATGAGTAATTCCTATAAGCATATATAAATGAAGTGTGGACAAAAATATTGTTTAGGGAATTTTGTATTTATGTATATTAATTGCCTGAGTTTTCAAGGATGACTGATACATTATAATTCAAACTTCAAATGCCCTTCAAATTAACAGACTGTACATGAATTTAAATCCTTACAAAGAAAGAGCACCAGGAGTTCTCCTTTCTATTGTGAGGTACCTGGAAATAAAAATCGGTCTTTTTTTTTTTTTGGTGTTTCAGATGAAACTGTCTATTGACCATCAAATTTTAAAATGCATCTGGAATGTTTTTTCTAAAAAAACAGTTTACATTAATGGGTGAAATTTCAAGGGTGAAGGAGAAGAAACTAAGGTAAATGTCCTATTCCGAAGCTTCAAAAGGTCATTTCCTCAAATCAAGCTTTAGTAATAAAATAAATGAAATAAATGTCCCATGCTCTCTTCGTAAGCACCAACACCCTTAAGGATGTGTGGCAAGAATATCTTCTTGGTGATTCGACTCAATCTTGGTTATTTAAATAAATAATCAGCTCAAACAAAACCCACCTGGTTTTTATCTTAAAACAATCCTTTTCCAAGTCTCCTAATATTTCCTGGCTAACTGAATCATGAGGTTGATTTTAAAAGTATTTTTGATAGCTTTTCTTTACCTGTTCTTGTAATTTCATTTCCATTTCCAGACAAAATCAGGGAGGGCTAAAAATAACAAACGTGACTAATTCTCAATTACCTGCAATAAAGAGAAGGCAAATGGGGACCCGGCATGATGGAATAAATTACATCCACTGATAGCTTAAAAATCCAATTTAACCATTACTTTCAACCTCCTTCTTATTAACAAATAAAATGGGACTACTCTGAGTTCCATTTCCTTTCCCCTTATCTGAAAATCTCCCTGATGGGGATGCTGACATGAAGATAAATGTCCCAAAGATGCATAAAAGGAGATAAAAAGGGAGCAGAAAACTATGGATCATTTATATACTTAATGTTTCATTCCAAATAAATAAAATTAGGAAAAATAACTGAATTGACTTAAACATTATTTCAAAGTACTAACCCACCCACTTAAGAGTCAGGTTTCAAATGGGCACTAGGGTTGGAACAAAATGTAGAAGATACTAAGATCTTCCTTTCAATTTTAAAAATGCATGATTTTGTATATAATTATGATACAGAATTGAATCTTCATAAATGAACTGCAAAATATTTTTTATAATTCAGTACTAGAAACACAGTTTATTCATTTAAAACATGAATAATTAATATTGTGAGAAGATGCAGAATTGTGCACAGAATGTTGATCTAGACAACATAAAATCTGATTCATGATTAACCTTCTAAATATCTTGCACAAATCATTTGATTTGGCCATAGTTTCCTGATTCATATAAGGAAGAAAATATGGTGGTGAGAACTACATTATCTCTAAATTCTGTTCTAGATTTATTTTTTTTAACCCAACAAGGAAATATCAGCTGTAAGCAAAATTCTTAGAAGAATACATAACTTTTATTGGATGACAATCTGTGCCTGAGCCCTGTGTCATTCCCCACTACACATACATATTCTTATATTCTAAAAATTCTTATAGTCACCATTGGGTGGTGACTATATAGATGGAGATTCAGGTGTATAGATATGTAATAAAGGAAACATAGCAAAATAATAATCATCAGATTTAGGTGGTATATATATATACACATACATTATATATATATTTTTATATATATATAGTGTTTGCTGTACAATTTTTTCAACTTTTCTGCCGGAAACTATTCATAATAAAATTTTGGAAATAAAACTCAATTCTCTGAGAAATTCTCTATAAATAAATTTAAGGTAATATTAGAAGAGGTTTAAACATTGCATGAGTTGTTCTTCTCAGACAATATCAAGCATTTGAGTATATGTAACCACTAGAACCTTCACACATTGCTGGTGGGAATGTAAAATGAAACAGCACTTTAGGAAACAATTTGGCACTTTCTTAAAAATGTAAACACTTAACTACTAGGTAACTCAACTATTCCTGTGTTGGGTATTGACCCAAGAAAATTTTTAAAAATCATATTTTATACAAGAATGGGTATTCATAGCAGCTTTACACATAGATGCTAAACATCAGAGAAAACATGAATGTCTATTAATTAACATGTGGTGAATAAACAGTTTACTGAAAGGACTACTTCTCAGCAATAAAAAGGAATGAGATATTGATACATGTAGCAATATGAATGAACTTCCAAATCATTATGCTGAGGGAAAAAAGCTAGACAAACATACATATTCTATGCTTGCAGAAAATTCAAACTAATCTACAGTGACAGAAAGCCCATCAGTGTTTGTCAGGGGACAGTGTGTAGAGAAGAAAAGATGGATTTCAAAAGAGCACAAAGAAGCTTTAGAGGATGATAAACATATTTGTTACCGTTATGGTGGTAATGGTCTTTTGGGTGGATGTAAATGTTGAGAACTGCTAAATCTTGCACTCAGAATATGTGTACTTTTGTTTACTTCCACTATACCTACATAAAATTACCCAAAAAAATGGGATAAGTGGGGCTTTACAACCATTCTTCGATACAAAAAAAGAAAAATACCATCAGATGCATTAGGAAGTAATATGGAGAATTTTATAATTAAAAAAAATTATGTACAGGGCTTTCCTTGTGCAGAACAGATGCTGGGTATCATTTCCAAGTAACCTTCATGGACATGCATACATTCATGGTTGTACAGTCTAAGTAGTCACAGAGGGTCCCATACTTGGTTTAATGCCTCACTGTTGCCACCTTAAAATTCTTTGTAAATTTTAAACAAAGTGCCTCTCATTGTCCTTTGCCACTGCACCTGGCAATTATGAGCCAAGATCATGGAATCTTTCTGGAGGCAACTTATCAGAACCCAGCCTCTTGGTAATAAAGAGTAGATCTGTCCTCAAAGCATCACCCATATCTTAGAAATTCTATACGGAACAATATATGGAAAATTAGATCACACAGTGGGGATTTTTTGGATATCATTAGCAAGATACAATGTTTCTAGACTCAAAGTACTTGCAAAACATGGACTTTCCTGACAGAACCAGGAAACAACTACAGAAGCTCTAGAAAGTTAATGAGAAACTTTGAGCAAGTCAAATTTCTTTCACTTTTTTTTCTTTCTATATCAGGATATAAATTATACCTCATTTCCCTGATATGTGTTCAGTAGTTAGAGGACATCTTTAGGAGTCATCTGAGAGTTGATGATGTACATGTGATTTGCTAGGGAGCTCTGCAGAGACAAACATGGTAAACTGTCCTCCACAGATGTTTGTGTACCGCAATCACCAAAACAGCCATGCACTGAACAATTTTCCAAGCAGAAAGCAGAGACAGAGAACGATTGTAAGAGTACTGATGTTATTCAATCTCCTCCCCCCTCCCCTTTTTACCAACAGACATGATAAATATGAACAAAGTGATCCTGTACTGTCAACAAGAGAAGCTAATTAATAATGTATCCCTAGGTAACTTGCTGGGATTTCTTTGTGAAACAAAGCTTACCTTCTCTGTTTTCTCTTTCACTTTAAAAGCTTCAGGTCTTTGCATATCACTGAGTAGAGACCAAGAAAAAGTTCTTGCCTTAGCTACACAGAAACTGAACAGAAAAATAACAAGTCCTGGGTCACTTGCTTGATGTCCTAGAGCTAGATGAGCTGTGTTTTAGAGACTGTTTATTAAAAAAAAAAAAAAAAAGTCGTAAGACTTTGCTGAGCTGTGAAACTTCTTCTTCACCACAGAAGAAAACAGACAAAAATTCAGAGGTGGAAAGAAAAAAGAAGTAGGTAAGCCATTCACATTAAAAACCATGAATTGGGCTTACAGTACTGGTAGATTTATATTAACGGGTATCGTACTATATATTTCAGCTCATAGGCAAATTGTTCATATTACTATAGTAACTATTGTACCATTGTTCATAAAACTATTGTAAACACATGTTATAGGTTAGAGGCAGAACTCGGAGGATGGAGGGCTGCAGTGTGTCAACAAGCACAAGTAGATTATTATCTAAGAGTGACATCAAATGGCCTGAATGTTTCACCAAAATGAGTTTTAGGCCCTCAATACTCACAACTTGTTCTATCCATGGTAGAGGGATAACTTTGAGCTGATTATTGGTTGGTTGACTGGCTGAGGAATATCTCAAGATTTGCACTAGTAAACAGCTCAAGAAGTTTGGCTTTGTCCTGGGTTATCCTAGGTCCAGAGTATAAGGAAAACCAAGAATATTATAAGAATAATTTATGACTTCCAGGTTCCAAGCCAGGATTCCTCAGCCTAATTGTGCCATGACATTAAGGATTAGATGATCACCAAATCCCTGATACCATAATCTCAATTGCCCTAGACACTTTTCAAACCCATGTAAGAGAATGCTCTATAAATTTAAAATAATAAATCGTACAGAATAACTGAAATCCTTAACTCAAGTTAATTTGACCACAGTACTAATGTGGATGCTATTTCTGATTTTCACCTTTGAAATTGTGTTTTGGATGTCAGACTCTCTTTTCAAATGTTACTTTTATTATGTTAACTTTTATCCCACAGTTTTGGAGTAAATACAATCATTCCCCAGCACCCCTCCCCCCCTAAAAAAAGCAGCAGAGGAAAAGATGTAGAATAAATTTGCCTTCCCAAAAGGCAGAAACTGTTCATCCAACCTAGGTATAAGGCTATATAAGAAGTGTGCCCAGCAAGCTTTCTGGTAAGGTCACAGAGAGGATGCCTTTCCTTGAAAGGAAACTATTCCGGGTATTCCTTCTACTCTAACTTTAAAGGCAAAGATTTTCATTTCCACTAGAGTGCCATTATGTGGAAGAGGAGAGCAAGTGAGAAAATACATACTTAAAATAAGAAGCAAGAACGTAATAAATAATTTTGCAATTATTTGGTGAAGGGTGATGCCCTAATAAAATCTCTATTTTATCCTATTGACCCCAGGTGGGTTTTGTCTATACCAGAGTTTCTTGGCATTGGCACTGTTAACATTTTGGGCCAGGTAATCATTGGTCTTGTACATTCCAGCGCATTTAGCAGCATCCCTGGTCTCTTCCCCTTACATGCTAGGAGCAGTGCTATATACTCCACAGCTCAAGACAACAAAAAATGTCCCCAGACATTGTCAAGTGCCTCCTTGGGGGAGCAAAATCACCCCTGGTTGAGAACTACCATCCTGAATCATACTGCCTCGAATAACATAGGGTACAGTCTCCTCACACAGCTTGTGTATATACTGTTTCCACACACACACACACACACACACACACATACACACACACACGCACACCTTTCAGATTTTTAAAAAATGATTTGTTAAGGGAAATGCTAAAACTTAAAGACTGTTTTTCTTTATTTGAATTCACCCAATATTTACTCAGCACCTATGGTATGCAGAGTAGTGTGCTATGAATTAAATAAGTTCTAAAGATGAATAAGGAAAATTCTCTTCCAAAAAGAGTTTGCAAACTGTAAAGAGGAATTCAAATTACTGGATCACATTGCAGAGTAAAATTAGCACCATAACAGAGTAAGAGGGGCGCCTGGGTGGCTCAGTCAATTAAGTGTCCGACTCTTGATTTCAGCTCACATCATGATCTTGTGGTCCGTGAGATCAAGAAGCATGTATGGTTCTGTGCCGACAGTGCAGAGCCTGCTTGGGATTCTCTGTCTCTCTCCCACTCTCTCTCTGTCCTTGCCCCACTCATGTGTGCTTGCACTGTCTCTCTCAAAATAAATAAATGAACATGAAAAACTGAGAGGGGAAAGATGGTAAGAAATTAAAAGAAGATATGACACTGAGGCGTATGGATGAAACAACCTCCTCAAAGACTCTGTAGAGCACCTTGCCCCAGCCTTGCCCTGCTCCTTGAGGACAGCTTTAAAAGATTCTGAATATAAATCTATCTCCCCAAACCACCTTCTCATTTTTAGTAATGTTAGGAGACATAGAAGGGCCATAGATTTCCCTCAAGTGACATTAAATTTCAAGGCACCTAATCAGAGGTGCCTGATTAACTGTCACTATTCGGTGTTAATACTCTTATTACATCACGTTCCCTGCAGATGACTATTTGCTTTTCACAGAACTTTGGTAATTAAGTGAGAGAATTACCAACTTCATTTTGTAGGAAAGAACTAAAGGCCCAGAAAATATCACTGATCTTTCTTAAGACTACTGTGAGAATTACCTTTACATCCTTATTTAAAAACTTAGGATTAAAAGTTATATTCTAATGGGCTTAAATTACAACTGACAGTAGCTTGAATCAGAACCTGGTTTGGCTATGAGCTAAAAAGTCAGCTTACTTTATTATTAAGAGAGCCAGGAGAGAATGGTTTCATGCATAAACCTTGCCTATAAAAATCTGTAGTAATCCAAGTGTTAGTTTCAAAAGAGAGGCTGTGTATCAGAAAATTGATGACTAGAAAAAGATCTTAATTATTTCTTCCATTATTCTAATAGTAAGAGTAAAGAAGTTAGGTGAGGATACAAAAAGTCTGCTCCTGATCTGTTATGTGTTTTTTTAAATTAAGTCTTTTATTTCAATTCCAGCATAGCTAACATACAGTATTATATTAGTTTCAGACATACAGTACAGCGTTTCAATAGTCTTATATATCATTATCCAATGCTCATCCTGCTAAGTGTATTATTAATCCTCTTCACCTATTTTACTCATGTCCCTGCCCACCTCCTCTCTGATATGTTTTATTTTAAACACATAAACCAGAGGGGCACCTGGGTGGCTCAGTCCGTTAACCATTCAACTTTGGCTCAGGTCATGATCTCATGGCATGTGGGTTTGAGCCCTATGTTGGGCTCTGTGCTGACAGCTCAGAGCCTGGAGCCTGCTTCGGACTCTGTGTCTCCTTCTCTCTCTGCCTTTTCCCTTCTCGTGCACACGTGTGTGTGTATGCACGCTCTCTCTCTCAAAAATACACATTAAAAGAATTTTTTTTAATGAGTAAACAAAGGAGGTCAAAAAAGGTAAACGACATCATTTCTTTAGCTAACAGACTAAGCAAGATGAACAGAAAAGCAAACCAAAAGTCCTGTTTTGTGGGAATGCCACAAAAAACTTCCAGAACAGGATAATGATCCATGACATCTTATTATACTGTACTGCACAGTTGCAAACACAGTAGATTCCAAAAGAATAATATCCAATATAGCCACTCAGGCCTAAATAGAGACAATGCTAAGACTAAGCAAAGGTGAATAACAGAAGGATGACTGACGTTTAAATAAAACCTCTTAATCTAGTAGCCTGTTTAAATGAATGCTGGCATTAATATTTATTATTACAAGTTTCAATTACTATTTAAAATTACCAATTTTTGTCGCATTTTATTCTTAATGTGAACCACGTCTGTGGGTCACCTGTTGCTTTAGACTACAAGAAAGCAATCATCTCACCACTGTACAAGTTAATTTAACTACAAGTTATACAAGTACACAGAGAAATGCAATAACTCCCAACATGTTGGCCTTATACCAGGTCACAAAGAGGCAGGAAGTAGAATATTGTGATAGGAAAATCATCAGAAAAGACACTGACTTCCTTACGACCCAGCAATAGCACTGCTAGGAATTTACCCAAGGGATACACAAATGCTGAGGCATAGGAGCACATGTACCCCAATGTTCATAGCAGCACTCTCCACAATAGCTAAAACATGGAAAGAGCCTAAGTGTCCATCAACAGATGAATGGATCAAGAAGATGTGGTTTATCTATACCATGGAATACTACATGGCAATGAGAAACAATGAAATCTAGCCATGTGTAGCCACATGGATGGACCTTGAGGGTGTTATGCTGAGCGAAATAAGTCAGGCAGAGAAGGACAAATATTGTATGTTTGCACGTATAGGAGGATTAGGAGGAACTTGACGGAGGAACAAGGGGGAGAAGAAGGGCGGAAATGGTGGGGGAGAGGGAGAGAGGCAAACCATGAGAGACTCTTGAATGCTGACAAAAACTGAGGACTGATGGATGTGGGGGGGAGGGGGGGATGGGCATGGAGGAGGGCACTTTGGGGATGAGCACTGAGTGTTATGTAGAAACTAATTTGACAATAAACTATTTGTAAAAAAAAAAAAAAAAAAAAAACGACACTGACTTCATCCGTGTAATAACCATGGAAAATGAGATCTGGGGCAGTCAGTTAACCATAGGCTGCTTAGGTACTTCGAAACCATTAAAGAAGGTATTTAAAAGATTCTTTTAATTTTTCAAATAATTTTCACTTACAGAAAAGCTGCAAAAATAGTACAGAGAGTCCTCACTTCACCTAGTTGGCTTTAATGTTAACATTTCATAGAGTAATATATGGATAATTAGCATTGATTCACTACTACTAAACTACAGACATTATTTATATTGAATTTGCTTTTTCTCTATTGTTCTTTCTCTTGGCCAGGATCCTACATTATATTTAGTTGTCATTCCTTCTTATAAAGTAGAGTTTATGTCCTTCAAAAAATAATTTGACCTAACACTCTGGAACATGAAGCTCTAATTTCATAGACTATAGTAGGGTGGAAACTGCAGATTTGGGATCTGAAAATATCAGCATTACTTTTGCTTTTAATTCTAGGTCTAGTCACCCCAGGATCAGCAGAGCCATACTATCTCCTTAAATAGAAAAGAATCATTGAGTGGCTTTGTCCCTCTTGTCAATAATCCACTCACCATAAAAGTGAGAGTTTATTTCTGGACTCTTAACTCTGTTCCGCTGATCTGCAGGTCCACCCTTATGCTAGCACCACACATTGTGATTACTGTATCTTTATGGAAAGTTCCAATATGAAGAAGTGGGCCTCTTCCAATTTTGTTCTACTTTTCATAGACCCCTCAATGGGGGGGGAAGGATCATCTTTTCAGCAAATGGTGATGAGAAATTTAGAGCTTCTCCCACATCATCCACTAAAATCCACTCAAAGCATATTATAAACTTAAATGTAAGAGTTTGTTCTTACCTACAGTTTCCTGTGGAGTCACCAGGAAGAGAATGTCAAAGATGGGGGGTGGTGTCCAAAGAGGAACAAGCAGGAACTTCAGTGATTCTGCAGAAATTACTGGATGGGAGAGAAATATAAAATAGACACATGGTGAGAAGCCCAGCTCTGAAAGCAGCAACTTTTCACTATCTAGACCCCAAGGGTCATCTGCAGATTGAGAAATTCAGACATAATTAGTGACCATGTTATGTTAGAATGGAATTTACTTTTTAATGTAAAATAAATAAATAAATAGACAGAGAGAGAGAGAGACAGACAGACAGAGAGAGAGAAAAGAACCAGGAAGAACCTTCCAACTAGATTGTATATATGAGTGAAGTGGACAGTGTATTAAGTAAAACCCAGATTTCATAGTAACCAAGGCATTTTAGAAAACCATAAAAGGTTATCTCACTAAATCCTTTGGCTTTAATTTAACGAAATAAAATCTTCCATGTACATTTATTTTTTCTACAACCAAAGATATGTGCTTTCATGCATGCATGTCCCTGTGTGTGTATATTCACAGTGGGGTAAATATGGAGTTAATGTTTTAATTTCATTAAAACTGTAGGTATGCCACAAGTATTTTCTGTTGTCGATGGGGAACATGATGCTGATAACAATGAAAAAAAATTTTCATATTATCCATTTTTTCCTGGACCATTGCAGGCATCCTTTAATATCAATTTGAGTTTCTCTGGGTTAATTTTTCAGAAAGATCACTTTTTTTTTTTCCTTAAGCTTTACTGAGATAATTGACATATAATCTTGTATGAGTGTAACATGTACAATGGGGCAATTTGATGGCTGTATATAATGCAAAATGATGATCACAATAAGGTTAGTTAACCCATCCATCTCCTCACACAGTTACCGTGTTGTGTGGTTGTATGTGTGTGTATATTGAGAATATTTGTCTACTCTCTTAGCAACCTTCAAGTATACAACACAGCGTTATCAACTATAGTGACTGTGCTGTGCATTACATCCCTCAGACATATTCATCTTATAACTGAAAATGTGTGCCATTTGATCAATATCTCCCTATTTCCCCCATTCTCCAGACCCTGGCAATCACCAATCTACTCTTTCTATAAACAGAAAGTAGCTTTTTAAGATTCTATATAATGGTGACACCAGGTCATATTTATCATTCTGTGCCTTACTAATTTCACTTAGCATACTGCCCTCTAGGTTTATCCATGTTATCACAAATAGCAGGATTTCCTAATTTAATTTTGTGGCTGGAAACAACTCCACTGCATATGCATATCATATATATATATATATATATATATACACATAACACATTTTCTTTATCCATTTATCCATTAACATTTAGGCTGTTTCCATGTCTTGGCTATTGTGAATAATGCTACAATGAACATGAGGGTGCAGATATCCCTTCAGATTTTATTTCCTTTGGATATATACCCAGAAGTGGGACTGTTGAAACATACAGTAGTCCTATTTTTAATTTCTTTTTTTTAATGTTTTTTTAAATTTATTTCATAGAGAGAGAGACAGCATGAACAGGGGAGACTCAGAGAGAGAGGGAGACAGAATTGGAAGCAGGCTCCAGGCTCTGAGCTAGTTGCCAGCACAGAGCCCAATGCGGGGCTCGAACCCAGAACTGGGAGATCATGTCCTGAGCCAAAGTTAGACACTCAACCAACTGAATCACCCAGGTGCCCCTCTATTTTTAATTTCCTGAGAAACCTTCTAACTGTTTTCCATAGTTGCTAAACCAATGTACACTTCCATCAACAGTGCATAAGGATTCCCTTTTCTCTATGACATTATTCTTAAACATTTATATATTTTTGTACCTTTTCTTGGATATTACATTAAAAAAAAAAGTCATCTACTGCTGTGGCTAAAGGAGTATTGTTTGGATTCGTTCCTTCCAAATCTCACTTTCGCTCCTCTCCTGGGTTGGGGCATAAAACAAAACTTTATTTTTTCTGGACTATTTCTGATTTAAAAAAACATTATTCTTCTAAGTTTAACCATTTTAAATTGTTTTTATTAGTTGTCTAGATTTTTGAAAGTATTCCCAAGCAGTTATCTCATTTTGCTAAAATCAATTAAGTGTCAGTAATATTGTTTAAACTTAGAAAATTCTAAAGGATGTCCTTGGCTATGGAACTAAGTGTAGTTTCTTTACATTGACTTGAATCATTTCAATGTGTTTGCTTACAAAAAATCTGCAGTGGTTGGGGCGCCTGGGTGGCTCAGCTGGTTAAGTGTCACTTGATTTCAACTCTGATCATGTTCTTAACAGTTGGTGAGATTGAGCCCCACGTTGGGCTCTGCATTGACAGCACAGAGCCTACCTGGGTTTCTCACTCACCCTCTTTGTCTCAAAATAAAAAAAATTTTTTTACAACTGCAGTGCAAAAGAGAAGCTAAAATAAGACCAGATGATACACATAATGATTCAGATAAATCTTAAAGTCCTGCTTCATTTAGAAATATTATCAAATCAAAAACCACTCTTACTTTTCCTTAGTTCTTAAAACACAATTGGAAAAATGAGCATTCTCTTATTAATTTTACAGATTTCAAACAAATATCCTTGTTTACTAAAAAATATACTTTGCTTCTCAGAATACAATGCAAGAAATATTTTCTTTGTATGCTTTACATTATTATGTATAAAATGATCATAAAAATCTATACTAATTTCTATTTTATTTATGAAAAAAAGATTTCTGAGTGCATACTATGTATAAGACACTGTGCTAGAGTGATAAACATAGCCAATATGTAAAAATAAACAATAGAATACTGAGAAGCTAGCTGGAACCATTATTAAGCTTTTGGCTAGATTTTGCTTGGGGCAACACAGGCCAAGAATGGTAATAATAAACTGTACTAAGGTATCCCAACATGTCAGACTGAAGCCTGATGAAGGAGATGGAAACACGCGGCATTAGTGAACAGGTTTTGCTTTCACTGATTTAAGCGTAAGAGAGGAAACTTGGGAAAGTAAAACTTTCCCTGAAGCGGGGAAAGAGATGAATGAGCTTTCTCCAGGGGATGTACAGCTGCCAGTCTAGAAAACAAGCTAACTAGTATACCATTCACAGCCAAGAAAGCCCGAAAGCTTTGCCAGGCAGGCAAGGATGATTAATATCCAACCATTTATCCACCCACTGGGACACATTCACACTTCAGACAGCAAAAGCTGAAATCAAAAAACATTTTTTCCCTTTGCAGTTTTTTTGTGATAGCTTGATTCTTAACTAGCTTGCTTAGTGGTCACAGTGATCAAATTACCCAGTGTCATCATTTTATGTATCCTCTCATATTCTGGAAATACACAGTTAAATTATTGATGCTTTGCTTCTTGCAAAATAGTCTGTATTACACACTGAAATTTTTAGAACCTCGTAGTGCCTTTCCATGTTTCTTGTTCTAAATTAGCTTAGAAAATTAACAGGAAGCACAGCTCTCTGAGAAGCCGAGGGACACCTGTGTATTTCCCAACTCTTAATGATAAAACTGTTACCAAAATAGATGGCCACAAGTTCAGGAGGTCAAACAAAAGTGATTGAGGACCTTCATTTATTTGTTATGCTACCCTTCCTGTGTCTTATGTGCTTAATGTTGCTCTGTCATTATGAGAGCCCCTGCAGTTAGGTAAAAATAAATCATAATTAGCATTAATAAGTTACCTTTTGGGTAATAGGATTCCTAGTTGAGTCTGGCACAGATTAAGCCTTCCTTGAGAGTCTAATTAGGGTGTTACTTATCCTTTAGCTACTCTTGCCAATTACTTAACATAATCTTTGATCACTAGCTTATTTCGACATCTAAAAATATTAAGGTACAATTAAGAGAGGTCTTTTCGAGATTAGCTCCCACACTTTCTGGAAACAACTAGGGAAGTAAAATTAGAAAAAGCTAAGATGATCTTGCTTGGATGATTTAGAACACAAAATGTCTACCACTATTTCTGTAGCATAATTCTTCCACTGAAGTTCATGATATTGTAAAGCTTATAAGTCTTGGGAAATTATATCTAGACAACTTTATGAATATCTGTATACTTAAAACTTCTGTATCCTTTGTAATATATGGGAATTTTGGAAGATTTCAGAATTCCTTGAATCCACTAGTTAATAAAATGCACAAAATATAATGAGATCAACTAAAAATATAATAGTAGTAGTTAAAAAAGGAACAGCTACAACTTTATGCCCTAAATTGTAAAATATAATAGCCACAATAAGAAACGGAAGGTTCTGGGTTTGCAACAGTGCCCAGTTCCGTCCATTGCTCCCTGCCAAAATAGAAAGAAAAAAGAGGTAAGTGAACAATACACTCATTAATATCTTCCAATCTTCTGAATATGGAGGAAAGATAGTTAATAATGAAAAAGGTCAAGGGGCATGATTTATGAGTAGAAGCTCTGACATATCACATTGTGAACTACTGCAGTGTTAAGAGGGATATCCAGGGCTTCCTATTCTGCAGGACACTGGACTACCAGGGAAGGAGATGAGGGGCCAATGAACAATAACTTTATTTTTCTTAATCAGATTCTGAACTTTTAAAAAAATAAGGCAAAAGAATCATGTTATAGAGACAAAAAATTGTCCCTATTATTGATAAAACTGCATACGAGAATATGGAATGTAGTTGCAAGGTAGTGGGCTTCCTAATACTAAGACATTGATTTAGACTCACTTGCCCACACAGTAACAACCAGAACTGGAAATGTTAAGCCTTCCCCCTGTGAAGGCTCACCATTATAAAAATTAATAGAATCCAAGAGCAGATCAGAGCTCATGCTTCCTACAAGTACCTTGGTTCCCATAATGAAAGAGTGGCTTAACCATGCATGTCTACTTTCATGGACCAAACACTAAGCAAAACTCCTTCCAGCTACTCTCATTTCTAAAGGTAGTGAATAAGGTGGTGGTCTGGTCTACTTAGGGAAAATGTCCTCTTGGTAAAAGCTAGAGAATTCAAGGTTAACTTCCCTTTCCAACTAAGGTTATACTACTGTCTCTACAGAGTGTGTTCTACTAACAGAAAAGTAATCAGGTCTTAGAAGAAAG